GGGGTAAATACAGGAACAGACAGATTGTTCACAGGGGTAAATACAGGAATGTGCACATTGTCCATAGGGGTAAATACAGGAACAGACAGATTGTTCACAGGGGTAAATACAGGAATGTGCACATTGTCCATAGGGGTAAATACAGGAACAGACAGATTGTTCACAAGGGTAAATACAGGAACACACACACATCCATAGGGGTAAATACAGGAACAGACAGGTTGTTCATAAGGGTAAATACAGGAACACACACGTTGTCCCTATGGGTAAATACAGGAACACACACAAGGAGCACACAGAGCTCTGAGGACACGACCTGGGCACCCACACATCGTCCTAGGACTCGATTAGCTCTCCAAGTCAGACATTAACTCAAAATCAATCGAGGAGGGGCTGATAAACGCCACAGACAAATGCAGCCACAGATGGTGCCAATCTCCCTCCTTCAGGTACTAAATACATTAATTATACAAAGCTTGGGAGCCTCAGATAACCAGAAACTTAACCCAGAGGCCGCTGGAACCAGGACCTTACTTTTTGTTCTCCTTTTTTTCCTCCTTTCTTCCATTCCTGAGCCCAAACTGGGCTGATTTAATCCCTCCGTCTCACTTAGTTTTCTCAGTTTGCTGTCACCCTGCTCAGCTCTCACACACATCACAGTGAGAAATAAAAATCAGGTAAAATTACCATCTAAACCCTTGACTGGAATCTGAGCCGGGGGCGATTTCGATGCCGTGCTCAGCAGAGGATCGAGGTGTTTGGTCTCCGCAGGAACGACGTCCGGGTTGTAATCGCCGGAGCAAAACTTCACCATGTTCTTCCCCAGCATCCCGTTCACTTCAGATATTGCTGCAAGAGAAAGCAAACCGCTTTTAACAACAAACACAGCACTTTGTGGTGGTGAAAATAATCTGTATAACAACCTATTGTGCCCCGAAACGTTACTGTAATGGGAAGACTCCTTTGAAACAATTATGTCCCAGCTGCAGGGTCAGACTGACCTGGGCCCGGTAAAAACCCTGACAAAAACCCTGTATGAAATCCCCTCTCCCAGCGTCCCACCACGTCTCGATCTTCAAACAACCCAGAACGGCGTCGAGGAGATGATTCAGAATAATAAACCCCCAGATCGAACAATAACCATGGGAACGGGGTGCGTTAGAGATGCGGGGATGTGTTTTCAACCAGCGCCCACTGGTAAACCTCTCCTGCGGCAGAAAAGGTGGCGTTAAGCAAAGGGCATTAAGGTGGTAAAGGAGAAAAATAAGCCTTGAGGTAGAAAAATAAGCCTTGAGGTAGAAAAATAAGCCTTGAGGTAGAAAAATAAGCCTTGGGGCGGCTTTCACAGCAGGAAAATAAGCCTTGTGGCAGGTATCGCTGCTTCCTGATGAAGCACAAAGCTCCTAAGGCAGCTTTCCCAGATCCAGCGGCACAAGAGCAGAGCAGCGAGCTCAGTTGGGGCACCCCGGTGTCTTTTTGGTTGCAATTTTCTCAATTTCAGCTTTACCCGGGACCAAGCGAACCCTCCACGAGGGTCCGAACGCCCCAGCGCCTCACCTGACGACAGCTCCCCTCCGAAGATCACGGCTTTCGCGCCCGAGGTCGTCACGCAATAAACCAGAGAATCCAAGCGCAGGTTGAAGTTGATGAGGGCCGCTTCGATGCCAATTTTCGCCATCCCGAGCCAGAGGCCGACGAACTCGGGGCGGCTCTCCATGAAGATGGCAATGACGTCCCCCAGGCGGAAGCCCTGCTGGTAGAAGTAGTTGGCCACGGCGTTGGAGTACTCATCCAGCCGCCGGAAGGTCCACTGCTCGCCGGTGGCCTCGTAAATCAGCGCCACTTTGTCGGGGTGCTTGCGGACGACGGCCTGGAACATCTTGGGGACGGTGCTTTTGGCTTTTTGATGCCTTCGCAGGTTGAACTTGACTCGTAACAGCACCGAGAGGCCGCTGCGGGATAAAAAAAGAAGAGTAAAGGCTTAATTTTGTGAATTAGAAGGGACGTGGGCAAGGCACAGGTACGCTGTGTGGGTGTCTCACTGGCACCTGAAGCGTTACCCTAAAACTGGGACTTGGAATCAGTGCTGGTCTATGGAAAATCAGTGCTGCCCTATGGAAAATCACTGCTGCCCTATGGAAAATCACTGCTGCCCTATGGAAAATCAGTGCTGCTCTGCAGAAAATCGCTGCTGCCCTACGGAAAATCACAACTTTTTAAACATTACAGTAAATAAACAGCATACAGGAACCGATCCGGTGCTTTCCACGCTCTAAAACACAGGGAATCCATCTTCACGTTGATATCGATTCAAAGAAACCCACCGAAAATATTCAAGAGATAAATGACGAGGGTGCCTTTTGGAAGGACAGCAACTGCTCAATAAAAGAGCGAACTCCGACGGCTCTAACGAGGCCTTTTTTGTTTTTCCCTTCTTCCATAATTTACATAATTATTTTAAGCCCCCGAGGCAGCAGCTGCAAGTCAAACCTCAACAGCGGCCAAGCTTGATGGCAGCAAACTTCAACCGTCTCACTTACGCTGTCCTGGAGGAACCTATCTTTAGGGGTGTGTTGGCTATCACTTATAACTTAGAGACAAAAATATATTTATTAGCGTGTGCTGCTGTAACACCAAAATGAGGCCAGCAGGTCTGGGCGTGCAGAACAGATCCCGTTTCCTTCCCGGAGGTAGAAAGACGAAGGCAGGATTTTTTTTTGTTGTTGTTTTTTTTGCACCGTGAAAATAGGAAATTGTTGTGCAACAAGGGTTTGGAAGAATCCCCAGAAACTGGAAAGGTCGTTTAATATTAGCACTTAAAAACCCCCGCGAGTCTCCCGACTGAATGTCAAGAGCAGGAGCCTGGCGGAAGGGGGAAGGGTGCGCTCCAGAAACAAGTTGTTGGCACCGGTGGGGCCGAGCTGGGCTTTCACGGTGACCTTACCCCGCTCTGTGCCAAACTCCGAACAGAGGAGCCTTTTCACTGCTGAGCCGTGCTTCCCAGATACTTAAAGGGCTTTATTCTGCCCAGTTTATTTTCTGCCATTATTCCCAGCTTGCCAGGCAATCGGGAGGAAACAGCTCTTCAAAGCACAGTGCCAGCCACAGCCGAGCTGGCAAGAGCCGGAGCCCTAAATCCTCTGGAATAAAGGCACATCCTCACCGAGGCCCAAAAAACCACGGATCTAAACACGACAGCAGCCTCCCAGGAGATGGGGAAGCTGCTGGAGCCCTCATGCCTCGTCGGGGCTACGAGTTTTGGGATGGCGCTGTCCCCTTTTTAGGGTGAGGGGGTGCAAGGGTGGGCATTGCTCCATGACCTCTAACACGGGGGAAGCATGGCAAGCATCCCATTCGCATCCCGTTCACTCGCTCCCCTTGAGGCTGAGCCTTTCCAACACTTAAAACCCGGCGTGGCTGAGGTTTAACAGTGGCAAACCCAGTCACAGCCACGGGCCCGGGCCCCCTTCACGCGTGGGGCGGCCGGAGAGAGGGGTCCCCCGGGGGGAGCAGCACTTACAAGAGGTCCCGCGGAGCCGTCCTGAAGA